TAAAAAAAAAAAAAAAAGAAAACGCGCGTATGTGGCTACATATAGTGTGCTGGTCTCCAGCCCGGAAAACAACAGAGAGAACGTGCATTTTTTTATACTAACCTATTACAGGTATTACCACAAATAAAGCTGTGATGACTTTCTTTTTTGATAATTACTTCTTCTTAAAAAGTAATTAAAAAAAATATTTTTGGTCAATGGTAAAACAAAATACGTAAGTAATCATATAAAAAAAGTATGAAACATTCAAAGTAATGTTAAAAAAAAAAAAAAAAAATTTGTTCCGAGTGAGATTAGAACCTGAAGTAGCAAAACTAAATCCCAACCTCCTGCTCTAGCCATCTGAGCTATTAGCGCTTAGGGTAAAGTAAGACTAAAAGTTACATATGTTTATTGTAAAGTTTCGAAGCTTGAGATTTAATTTGAGCTTTATCGTATTATTGCCGTTAAGCTATGTATTAATGGTGAAAAAATATAAATTAACAAATAAAGGTGTCAGCGCAATGGGGCGTTTGGGTAAAGGTGTTCAGTATAATCGTAAATAATATTACTGAGTACAAAAAATATTTGAGCGTACTGTGTCGTTGTGGTGAATGCCTTTATTTATTCTTCAATAATTTCACTTATCATAAAAGTGAAGAAAAATTGAGCGCACTGGATTATTGGAATAAAGGCGCTCGTTTATTAATAAAGCAAAATAATATGTTAATTGCGTTGAGCTTGTTGTTTTTCAAAAAATGAAAAAAAATTGTTAATATCATGACAATTATGTTTTTGTTTTCATAGTTGAACGANGTCTTACTATACCCTAAGCGCTAATAGCTCAGATGGCTAGAGCAGGAGGTTGGGATTTAGTTTTGCTGCTTCGGGTTCTAATCGCACTCGGAACAAATTTTTTTTTTCTTTTAACATTACTTTAAATGTTTCATACTTTTTTTTTATGATTACTTACGTATTAAGAAAGTTTTTTTTCCATTCATAGATAAAAAAAACATTCGACGTACTAAGTAACAGCTTTTTAAGCGCAGTTAATTATTTCAATTTCATATTCTAGGTTGCATGACAACTAATGACGTTAACGAATTCTTGAATTGTTCGAAAGTATTCCAAAAATTATTAATAAATGTTTTTTTTTAATTTTAAACAAAATACTCCTTTTTAACTTTTGTACAGTAAAAATGATTGATTAATATGTCTTAGAAAGTCATGTAGAAAAAATTACTTGTTTCATTGCCAAAGAATGTAGACTGTTTTTGTGTTGTCTAAAAAATTTACTAGACAATATTATTATTATTAT